CGTGGGCACTGGCGACAAGGCCTGAGTGCCTCCCAGCCGCCGGGCCCAATGTTCTCCTCCCCCAATTCCCCCCCCCAGCACTGGCGGCGAGGCTAGAGTGCCTCCCAGCCGCCAGCCCGCCGCAGAGTTCCCAGAGTGTTCTCTGCGCATGCACAGGGAACGCTCTTTTTGGGGGGATTTAAATATTCTCCGTACAGTTTTTAAAACTTAGGTTTTTCTGCACTGAAATGTACGATCCCTCTGTTTCTTACAACATAGTACATTTCCTTTATGATTCCAAAGGGATGGCCTGCTACAGTGAAAACAATAAAGAATCTTATGGCATCCTAAAGACGAAGTCATGTAAATTTGGCAAAAGCTTTTGTGAGTCAGAAGAACCCTGCTTTGTTGAAATGCATGAATTGTTTCTCATGGATGAAACTGTGGTTAGACTTTTTGCCAGGGCTTAAATACAGTGCGCTAGGGCTGTCATGCTCAGATAAAGTTGTTCTGCGGGCTTTAATAGAGCCAAGGGCCTTCCCGTTGCCTGTCCCTGCATTATCTGGTAAACCATGTTTAGTTTAAATGGGTGTCCTAAATATATGTTTCAGAGAAGAACTTCGTTCAGTTCCATAAAGTGCTTTGTTTTGTGCTGTCTTTTCAGATGAATTAATGGAGTGCCCAGCAATGTGTCTCTCTTCAGATAATTTAAAGGGTGAAACTACAGACTTGGCGTGAAACCATAGAGTTGAGCAGAGTCCGCCATGTTGGATTTCCTGGCTGAAAACAATCTCTGTGGGCAGGCAATTCTGAGGATTGTGTCTTGCGGTAATGCGATTATCGCTGAACTTCTGAGACTTTCGGAGTTCGTCCCTGGTGTTTTCCGACTGAAAGACAAGGCTGATCAACAGAAATATAGTGAGATCATATTTGATTTCAGCTACTTCAAGGTAAGAATTTTGCTTTGCTTAAACTTTGGGAAGGTTGAGGTTATGTTGGGCCCTCTGATATTTTTCTCTCGGTGTGTGCTGCTTTGCTGACGCTGAGAGGAATCATGGCTTTGATCTTCAGAAAATTCATAAATTGGTTTGGGGGTGGCGATGGTGCTCTAAAATGACAGTTTCTTCTTCTCAGGGGCCTGAGATATGTGAGGGAAAGTTGGAAGCCAAGCCTGAACTCCTCGATCTGGATGATGAATTTCGTGAAAACAACATTGAAATCTTGACCAGATTTTATTTGGCTTTCCAGAGTGTCCATAAATATATCGTCGATTTAAACAGGTAAAAGGGTCGCTTAATAACTGTGATTTCCTCCCTCCATACCTGGACACTCATTTTCGCAAAAATATTATTGGTGATTTGCTAATGTGTAAGTTATCTCAAACTGCAGGAAAGAGAGGGTCATAAAATATTTTAAATATTTAAATAAGGGTAAAGTCTGTGGTCCTAAAGTCATTTGTATCCAGTAGGTTCTACTGACATCCACAGGGCTTAATTCTCTGTAAACATGTTTGTGGTGGTGATGGTTAATAATCTTGACCGTATATAAAATACTCTGTTCAGTGTGAAGCAGTTAATCTGATAACCCTCGCAACAGTGTTATAAGGGAGGCCAATATTTTTACCATATTGCTGATGGGAGATGTCGCTGTGAGAGAATTACTTTACTAAGACAGTCAAATGAATGTGTGATAGAGATTAGATGAACACATATGAAACAGCCTTATCCTGGGTCAAACCATTGGTCTATCAAGGTCTGGCCTTCACCTTCTTTCTAACGGCCCGTATTCTAGAGGAAGGTGCCTCATGAATCCTATTCTCCTGACTGTCAAATTCTTCCTTTTTAAAAAAACCCATGGTATAGAAACCAATTCCGTACAATTTGCAGTGTCGCTTTCCCACTCTTCACTCCCCAAGAGCTTAACTTAGATTTGGTTACCATTTCTTAGGTACCTGGATGACCTCAATGAAGGAATTTATATACAGCAGACCTTAGAAACAGTACTGCTTAATGAAGATGGAAAGCAGCTCTTGGTAAGCACTGGAGTTTCTATGCAGTCATGGAATCTGTTGATTTCTTGGCCTGACTTCCACATGCAGGAGAACGAAGCTGGTAGGATGGGCTCCACCGATTCAGACTGCAGTTTTAAATGACCTTTTGTGTCGTTTTTAAAAAGACCTCCCTGTAGACAGAACACTAGCCCAGCAGGGCGTGAAGTTTTCTATTTGCAGGGAGAATTCACCAATATTCCAAAATGTCACTCCTGAACCTGAAGTCTAAAATATCGCCTTCCCTTCCATCACCTAACTTTTGCAAGTATAATTCAAACCTAAATAATGTACATTTTGGGACTGTTGGAAGATTAGTTGGGGTTTTCCCCCCCTCAATCCCTCCCATCCTCCCATTTGAGAGACCTGGGGTCCCGCAGATCCTTCTTTTAAGGTCATGTTTGCCTGAGTTCTCAGTGCTGAGACATACTGATTCTCTGAGATAAAATGGGAGGCGTGTTTCATTCTTATACCTAATAAGTCTTCGAGTATGTCAGGCTCACGCAACACTCAATGGATCCCCACCCCTTGGGTTTTTTGGCATGCATCCTGATTGGAAGGAAGTAGTCATTCAATGCAGAGATGCAGTGATCATTGTCCTCTTGACGGATGGTAATTCTGTGGCATCGCTACCTGGGAGGTGATGGGCAGCACAGTCTTAAACAGTGTTACACCCTTTTAAGCTTACTGGCTTTAACAGGTTGTAATTGTGCTTTGAATTGCACGGTCAGTGATTTCATTCATACCTGATGAACAGAGGTAGTAGAATTATACACCCACCCATCCCCAGCAAAGGCTGCTTGTTGTTCAGTCGCACAGTCGAGTCTGACTCTTCGCGACCCCATGGACCAGATCACGCCAGGCCTTCCTATCTTCCGCCACCCTCTGAAGTTGGCTCAATTTCATGTTCGTTGCATCTATGACACTGTCTAACCATCTCATCCTTTGCCATCCCCATCTTCTTTGACCTTCAATCTTTCCCAGCATCAGGGTCTTCTCCAGTGAGTGCTCCCTTCTCATTGGGTGGCCAAAGTATTTGAGCTTCAGTTTCCTTATCTGGCCTTCCAGGGAACAGTCAGGGTTGATTTCTTTTAGGATTGACTGATTTGATCTTCTTGCAGTCCAAAGGACTCTCAAGAGTCTTCTCCAGCACCATAGTTCAAAAGAATCTATTCTTCCGCGCTCGGCCTTCCTTATAGTAGTAGTATATAGTATAGTATATAGTATAGAAGTAGATGTTTTGCTTAGATACCAGCAAAGCCAGAATGATTAATCGTGCATAGTTGCAACTGGCAGCACTGGTGTGGATGCATAAAACTTGGGCTGTCGAGATCCTGCCGTTTATTTGTCATGGCACGCCAGCTGTTTTCTTGCAGTGCACAGTTGGGAGAGGCATGCTGGTTTTGTGTAAGGAATAGCGGTCCTGATCTTCAAAGGCAACAGGTTTCTTCAGGTAGCTGACACTTCTGGATCACAGTTAGCATGGAAGAGTGTGTAGGATGTGTTAGCAGGGCACCTTGTACCTATACAACAGTCCTGCAACTAGGGATGTGAGCCTCCAGGTGGGACCTGGGGATCCCCCGAAATTACAGCTCATCTCCAGACTACAGGGATCAGTTCCCCTGGAGAAAATGGCAGCTTTGGAGGGTGGGCTCTACTAGGGCATTGTACTGAGGTCCCTGTCCTCCTCAGGCTTCATCCCTAAATCTGCAGGAGTTCCCCAACCTGGATCTGGCCACCCTACCTCTCCCCCCCCCCATGCTGGTGCCCAGGGGGGACCTGGCAACCCCACCTGCAACACATATGCACACCAAGATAACAGAACACCTGTGGTGTTAAGCTGGCAGCATTAATGAGTTTTTGGTAATATTGTCAGAATCGGACCCTTGTATTGGGGTCAGTCTAGATACGCACTGGTGTTCTGATGTGCATAGCCCTGCTTGCTCGCATACTATCCCGAAAGCTTTATCTCTGTGTTCCCATACTGGGCTTTTGTTCTCATGCTGATTGTAACACCTGCTAGCAATGAATCCACTCAGATACAAGTCCTCCTCTGACATTCTCAGGACGAGGGGGTGGTTGATACATGCTTGGTTGTCTATGGTAGATAGTGCGCTTGTAACCCTGTTACGAGAAGCCTCCTCCACAACGGCCAGGAGATTGCTCGCTTCTCATGATGTCTCTTGGCCCTGCAGGAAGTCTATTAGATAACCATTCTCACAGTAGGCATCGTATCATAGTAACCTGCCTTTATGCTATGTAATCATGACGTATGAATGAAGGCTGCCCCTGAGTTCTCATGAGGGCTCAACCTGTATTCTATGCCAGTTCTGTCAAAGACCTTTGATTCACCTGCAACTTCTCTGATTGCTAATAAAATCCAAAAAACCGACTTATCGCGTTTGAGAGTTACTGCAGAGTCTTACAAATATACATGCATTGAAGTAGCACTGACTGTGCCACTCCAGGAGCACATCTAGAACGGTGCAGCTCTTTTGGAAGGGAGAGCACAGGTAGACGTTTGCCTCCTCATGGCCGTCTACGCATCAGCAACTCCATTCCTTGCCTGCGCTAACCACAGGCGGCATCAACTGTGGGGTCAGCACAAATCGTGCATTATAGACATAAAGAACAGGGTAATGGAGGGGGGAGATCTTTGCTATGGAAAAGGAGGGTGCCGTTAAAGGACCCCCACCCCGAAAAAGTGTCTCGTTAGACTTCTGTCACTCTGGAACCACTTTAAAATGTAACCTTTGTACCTGCACTTGTCATTATATTAACATCCTGAATACGTAAAGCTCCCCCTTTCAACTTTTTTGATGTTACTGTTAACTAGTTTGTTTTTTTTGTAATGTTAAATTGTTATTAACTTACTGTTTACAAATGTGTATGCATCTTTTCTAAAATTTAAGAAAACATATTAAAAAATAAAATGTAATCTTTGTAAGCACTTCAAGTATAATAATTGGACTCTGCTATAAAATGCAGCTTTTTATACTTTGGCTCTCCTAGCTATGAATGCAAACAAAAGAAAACACACTTTTCCCCCTTCCCCTTCATGTTCCAGTGTGAAGCCCTTTATTTGTACGGCGTCATGCTGCTGGTCATCGATCAAAAAATCGAAGGGGAAGTCCGGGAGAGGATGCTGGTTTCCTACTATCGATACAGGTATTTTTCTTCTCATACGGGTTCTCAATTCTGGCTAGGGTGTCACTGAAAGAGAAGCAAGTGGGCTTTCAGAAAGCAAGGAGTTTGGCGAGGAGCTACAGGATTCTGCCCTGCCACTGTTTCGGTTATGAATCTTGTGTGATTGTGTGCATATAAAGAAGAAGAAAAGATTGGATTTATACCCCACCCTTCACTCAGAGACTCAGAGCGGCTTACAAGGAAAGTGCACGCTGGGATAGATGAGATATGGGTCTAGAGCTCCTGAATCTGAAGAAGAAGAAGAAGAAGAAGAAGAGATTAGATTTATACCCCGCCCTTTACTCAGAGTCTCAGAGTGGCTTACAAGCTCCTTTCCCTTCCCCTCCCCACAACAGATGCCCTGTGAGGTTGATGGAGCTGAGAGAGCTCTTTCGAGGACTGCTCGTGAGAGAACAGCTCTTAAAGAACTTGTAACTGACCCAGGGTCATGCCAGCTGCTGCACGTAGAGGAATGGGGAATCAAACCCGGTGCTCCCAGTGGTGCTCCTAACCACTTCACCAAACGGGCTCTGAGAGCTGGTTCTGAACATTCCGTCACACTTTAGTGTAACCAAGAAACGGAGCCCAGCACCAGTCTATGCAGGTAGGAGTGAGCAGGCTTGAGATTCGGTGGCTGAGGATGCTGGGTAGGGGAGCTGATTTAGCCTCTGTTCCAAGGATGTCACATTCAGGCTTGGTGGCTAATTTGCTGGTGTATCTCTTCCCTGGATGGCCACTTGCAGCTTAGTACAAGTTGAGCTAAGTGGTTCCTTTGGTGCCAAAACTCAGCTTCTGCTTCAGGGCTAGCATCTCCGTCTTATATTTATTTAGGAAAATCTGTAATAGAGATCCGCAAAGTAAAAGCAGATGTAATCAAATGAGTAAAACCCCATGCAGTTATTAATATTGAAACAGACTATAAAACCAACCCTGGCCTGGATGGCCCAGGCTAGCCCAATCTTATCACCTCTCAGAAGCTAAGTAGGGTTGGTCCTGGTGAGTTTTTGGATGGGAGGCCACCAAGGAAGTCCCAGTTTGCTACACAGAGGCAGGCAATGGCCAACCACTTCTGTACATCTCTTGCCTTCACAACCCTGTGGGTTCACTGTAACTCGGCTGCGACTTGACAGCAAAACATCGATTGATCGATCAATAAAACCCACAGAGACAGCTTTTGGCCACTTCAAATGATATTCGTACAGTGGCCCTCAGACCATAAATGCAGCTAAGAAAAAGGTGGAAGCCCTCAGTTTAACGCTGGGGTAAAAATAAATGTTTTTGTAGTCACCCTTCCCCGATAGCCTTGTGGCATATGTACCATCACTGACACGGGCAACCTGCCGTAATGATAGGGATCTAGTAATTTTTTTCTACATTTAGTGTTTTTCAGTATTATCGTATTTATTCACCCACAATGTTTGAAGCGGCCAGCCTACAAATAGCAAAACAGCTGTATTCAAAGGACAGTATTCTGGGCACTCCAAAACACTGGCTCTCATTAGTCTTTACAACTTTCTTTTAAAAAAATATATATATATATTCTCAAAAAGAAAGTGGGGTACAAAAGGGAAGAGGGGGTAGGGGAAAATATAGATTTATCAGATGCATCAAATATTATGGGTTGTTACATACAACAAGTAAAATCAGATGTATTAGTAAGAAGACATATTTCAAATATAGAAGCAGACAATAGAACATCAATACTACAGTGTTTTGGGATGGGCTGTCTCTTTAAAAGAATAAGCAAGAACGTTCCTAATGGTAGCAATAATCTAATAACAATAAGAAAGATTACATCGTTAACAGCTGAACAAACTTCTGTGCTAAAATTAAATCATCGTTAAAACCTTAATCATTTGTTGAAATCTAAGTTTTATTCTTACTAAATATTTAAATACTAGTGGAATACTAAATAAAAAGATTAAAGCTATAATCAATATTGTCATCACCTTTAATATGATATTCAGATTTTTTAAAAAAATTAGCTATTCCCGTAATATGAGTAGTAAGCGTACCATTTCTGCTGAAATTCATTTAATGGTCTTCTGTTTATTATAACTAGTTACCGTAGTTTTGCCAATGTCTTGTAAGGTAGGCCATTTCCTTGCGGAAGGGGGAAAGAGAGAATCCTTTGTTAAGGTCACCAAGTGAATTCAGTTGAGTTTTAGAGGCTTCCCAGCTCACGTTCTTAGCCCCTCCACTCTTTACCACATAGCTGCAGATAATATCAACATACCTGACGTAAGAGTCATTGGCATTTTGTTGGTGTCTCTCTTGTTTGCCAGTTTCTCCTTTCTAAAATGGCTTTCTCCATTTACCATCCAGCGCTGCTCGTTCCGCTGACTCCAACATGGACGACATATGTAAGCTGCTTCGGAGCACCGGCTATTCGAGCCAACCGGGAGCCAAGAGGCCACCAAACTATCCTGAGAGTTACTTCAGCAGGGTGCCCATCAGCGAAACCTTCATCAGCATGGTCATTGGTCGCCTGAGGTCAGATGACATATATAACCAGGTAGGTCTAGGCATGCTGTGGGAGAGAAAGCACCAAAGACGAGACCTAGCCTGTGCTGTAAGGGCTGTGCTCTTACGTTGTGTGGTACCTGTTTACTTTTTAACTCCCTCCTTATCACTACTCCCCTCCTGTTCCAGGTTTCGGCCTATCCGTTACCAGAGCACCGCAGCACTGCACTTGCGACTCAGGCGGCCATGTTGTACGTCCTGCTGTATTTTGACCCAACCATTCTTCATACGCAGCAATCAAAAATGAGGGAGATAGTGGACAAATATTTTCCAGACAATTGGGTAAGCATTATTCTTGTAATACTGGCTACTGGAGCCAGTGTAGTAATGGGATTAGAGGGTCAGAGACTAGTATTTGGAAGATCCAGATTCTAATTCCACCCTCTGCCATGGAAGCCTGGTGAATGACCTTGGGCCAGTCACACACTCTCTACCTAAACTACCTCACAAGGTTGTTGTTAGGATAAAATGGAGGCAGGGAGAATTTACAGAAGTGATGTGGTTGCCTTTCACATATATTGCCCCTGAACTGCAACAACGTGAGTTAAAATGACAACTGGGGAGATTTAGATTCATTGAAGGCCACAATGTGTAGTTTCTAGTACTCTCTATTACATTTGTTGATTCCCTTGAACGTTTGTGAATGTACACCAATATCCTGTGTAGCTGGGGGTTTTTTGGTCACTGGATATTAAGATTGAAGTTTACTGTATGTGAAAACTTCTTACCTAAGTATGAGTTTGTGCATATTTCCATCTCATGCTGTGTCAATAGTAAAAAAAAAGTAATACTGAAAACCAGAAGTTATTTGACAGTACCATCATACAACAGACATCCACCACTTTCCCCTATTATATGCTTGTAAATTATACGAAACATGCACTCAAATATGCAAGGGAAACTGAACTCAGTAACACTGTAAGCTAGTGTGAAGTGTCTGGAATACTGCAGTGAAAGAATCAAGATAATATCTTGTTGGGTACACGAGAAACTGCAAGTTAAAACACTTGTGACAGTAGCTGGAAACTGCAGAGCTTAGGGAATGTTACGCCTACATTTGATGACATCACGACGTGGTGGTCAGGCCTTCCATATAGGGGGTGGTGGCTCTGCCCACAGAAGAAAACTTTCTCGCTTCCTGCTGTGGCTCTCTGTGTGCCCCCCCAAAAAAACAGCGAGAGGGGTGAGAGGGGGTGAGAGTGGCAGCCAGATGGGCACTGTCCGAAGACGTTTCCGTGGTCATGTGGCCGGCATGACTAAACACCGAGGTGCACGGAACGCTGTTACCTTCCCACCGAAGTGGTCCCTATTTATCTACTTGCAATTTCTTGCTTTCGAACTGCTAGGTTGGCAGGAGCTGGAACTAGAGACGGGAGCTCACTCCGTCATGCGGCAACCCGGGTCTCGAACTGCTGAACTACTGAGGTGCACGGAACGCTGTTACCTTCCCACCGAAGTGGTCCCTATTTATCTACTTGCAATTTCTTGCTTTCGAACTGCTAGGTTGGCAGGAGCTGGAACTAGAGACGGGAGCTCACTCCGTCATGCGGCACACTCGGGTCTTGAACTGCTGAACTACCGACCTTCCACAGCCTGCAGTTCAGCGTCTTAACCACTTGAGCCACTGCAGCTCCTAGATGTCATTGCCTTAAGCCTAATTACAATCAGCATGGTATAGTTGTTAAAGGGAGACTGGGAGCCCTGGGTCTGAATTCCCATTCTTCCCT